TCTCTCTATTTGGTTATAATTACAAATGACCCTCAATAACTCCGAAATTAATTATCTTTGGCAAAATTATAAATTATTTATAAATGGTCGAACATAATTTTCATTCACGCATTTCAATGAAATCACAAGTGCTATCCACGTATGAATCATTTATTTTTATTTATTTATAAATTAAATCATTTATGTTCTTCTCGAACAATAATATCTGATAATGAAATATGAAAAGAAGAAAATTACAATAAGACTTCAATTACAATTAATTAAATTGTCGTTTTCCTTCAACCAGGTCCATAGCCCGCCCAGACAAATTCGTCTCAACATGCTAGTCAAACTACTTCCACAACAATTTTTCCATGTGTGTGTGGAAATTTTTGTTGGGTTAGATTAAAACTTGGAAAGTAGTGACATTTTTTTGGACGTATACGATGATACTACATAGAATAATCAAGAAAGAGTCGTATTTGATATGCATTACATATATCGGATTATACTATTATAAATTTATAAATTTTTCAGTAAGAACTTTATTAATAGCAGCTAAAGGGCTTTGTTGAGAGTTGAGACCATTCAAGAATTTGTACTTAATCTTAAATCCAACGGCATGTGTCAAACGAGCTGACCACGCCCACCTACCCCCATGCCCAACTCACCCTTAAGTTCTTTGGTTCTTATTTTATCATTATTAAAAATAGACACGTAACAACTTAGTAGTTAGGGAGTAGAAAAAATTATTTTGTCTCAATATTGGCAACAACCCTCTCCATTGAACACATTTTCTAGCATTCTACTAAGATTTTTTTTTGTTTTCCAATTTTTTTATGTTATAAATATTTTGATGTTTGATATGGAGGATTAAATAATATTACGATAAATTTCACGCTAATTAAGGAAGTAATCATGGTATGTCGCAATAGTATGAATTTTACAAGCGACTTTTTTTTTTTTTCGCTTGATGGGAAGGATGGTTGGGAAAGAAAAATACGCGGAAAGAAAATGGGATAAAGACATATTGGGAAAAAAGGAAAAAAAAATGTTGACTGGTTAGTGCAAATTCATGAGACACAATTTCCTCAATTTTATGGTGGATGAGTTATTGCAAAATTCTATGAGATACTAGTATGTAATTCACTGGTTAGTGCAATTTTTTCTTTGAATGAATGTCGAGGAGACCTGCCAACAGTTATGTTGACTTTTAAACTTGATTTGCTAGACTTAAACCAGACTTAGGGTGAAACATGGCCAAACTGGACTTGGATAATATGTACGTAGTATTATTGGATTTTTACTCTTTATTTTTAATTTTTTTTTTAAATGATCTAATATATGACTATTTTAATGTTTAACGCATTATTGGATTTTCTCTTTATTTTTAATTATATTGGAAATGTTCCAATATATGACTATTTTAAATTTTCAACAATCTTGTAAACCAATAATTTTCAAAAACATAATATCTCATATAGTCAAATCCTCACCCCAACCACAACCCCACCCATATGCCCATGAGCTTGTTTGGGAGGGATTTTTAGGGGAAGAATTGATTTTGAATAGTGATGTGATGGGAAATGTGTGGTTGAAAAAGAAGAAAAAATTATTGATGTGATGGAAAATATTATTTTATTGAAGAATGTGTGGTTGAAAATGAGAATTGATTTACTGTAGAAAAATCTAATTCCTCCATAATATATGTGATGGGAAATGTGTGGTTGAAAAAGAAAAAAAAATTATTGATGTGATGGAAAATATTATTTTTTTGAAGAATGTGTGGTTGAAAATGAGAATTGATTTACTGTAGAAAAATCTAAATCCCTCCCAAACAGATATATTCTCATCTTGTGCAAAACGTTGTTCAAAAATAATATCTCATGTAGTCATACCTCACCCCATGTGCCTATATATATATTCATCTTGTTCAAAACATTGTAACTACTAAAAAACCTCCATTATAATATAGAATATTATCTCTCCTTGACATGGAGCTTTGCTATAGCGACACAACAATTACTTCGTCTTCTTGTCCTTCCCCTCTTCCTCCGCTTCCATCTCCGGTGGCCAGCCCTTGCGCCGCTTGCAAGATATTGCGGCGACGATGTGTAGAAAAATGTGTTTTGGCACCCTATTTCCCTCCAAATGATCCACTCAAGTTCACCACTGCTCATCGTATTTTTGGCGCCAGCAATATAATCAAACTATTGCAGGTATTCTCTCTCAACACAAACACATGTGTGTGTGTGTGTGTGTTTGAGTGTATTATGTTGTATGAATGTATGTTACACATGCATGCATACATGTATGTATTAGATCATGATTGACATCTAAAGCGAACCGATTTATCCATTTAAAGTTTAAAAAGGCTCAAATGAGTAGTCGAATTTCAATATTGATGTTCATGAGTCACATCTTGCAATGACATATTATCAGAAAGAATAATGTTATTTGATATCATGATGATGGATCATCACCCTGTATGGTAACATAGTGATCTTAAGTGATAAGTCCAACTAAACTCAAGAACATGAAATTTATGTTATTGGACATATTATTTAATGTCATCTAAACATGATAATCCATTATCATGATGACAAATAGCATTACTCAGTTACTCTATGCAAAAATCTCAATTCGACTATATATGAAAATATAATCAATACATAATATTTGAGCAGTTATCTTTCATAAATATTGACATTTTAAAATGGAACTTCAAGATTCAATAGACATGAACCTTCTTATAATCTCTAGTTCTTTCCAAGTGTGCATGTTCGGACGTGTTTATAAATGATTTAGAGAGAGAGAGAGAGAGTCAATATCTACTAATTAATCAAAAAATGCATAACATGTATGTATGTGAATTGATTAACAGGAACTGCCGGAAACTCAAAGAGCTGATGCCGTGAGCAGTATGGTTTACGAAGCGAATGCGAGGCTAAGGGATCCAGTGTATGGAAGTGCAGGAGCAATTTCCCAACTCCAAAACCAAGTTAATGAACTTCAACAACAGCTAGCAGTGGCACAAGCTGAGATTGTCAATATGCAGTCTCAAAAAGAAAATCTCATGGCCCTCATTTGCATGGAAAAATGGAACAATATAATTCCTCACCAACACCATTCCTATGACAATGGTTGCCAAACTAATATGAGCTTCCTGGATGAAAATCTTGGATCATTATGGGAGCATGTTTGGACACAATAATTTTACATGGATTATTCCAATAAATTTGGAGGCTTTATGGGATGAAAGTAAAATCAAGATTATCAAAGTTAATTTCTTGACTTGTATTGTTTTATTAAGTGTCGTGTGAGTTTTTCCTATATGAATTGCAATGAAACTTGAACGTATGACGTTCGTTTAAGGCAACACTCTGAGTTGATCAATCAAGAATTTCAAAATTGAATTCTTGAGTTGTTGCATTTTACTTGGACTTGTAAACTGAAGTTTCAATTTTTTCTTCGTTAAACCGTGTATGTCTAGAACCTATGACATTTTTGTGACCCAATACTTTTTAAGTTGAATCGACTTGTAAACTACTCATGAGGTTTGAATTCTCTCTTTATGTACATACTTTCGAGTTATTTCTATCAAAGTTCTATAATGTAAATTTTCCGTATATGGATCACAATTTATCAAATGTAGTATAAAATAATATGAAAATATAATCTTATAATTTATATTTAGCCCTTGTTTGATTTTGATGTTTTGAGAAGTGATTTTATGAAAAGTAATAAGTAGAATGTATGAATTGAAAGTTATGGAAAAAAAATATGGGTTCCCATGTAAAAATATTTTATTGAAAGAATTTATGAGTAAAAATGAGTTTGAAATTTTTTTTTTTTTTTTTTGAAAAATCAAAATCAAACAACATTTAGTTTTTAATGATTTAAAGTTGAAAAAACCTCCTCCAACCAAACCGTGTTACCATATCATATCATGAGTGTGCGTCCAATCGATCATTTGTCATTCGTTGAATTTAAAACAACTTTCAGGTCACCTAATTTTTAAATTAAATTTCATGTCATTGTCTAAAATCGTTTCCAAGAAACATAGCCCCTATTTTGTTTGATAAAAAATTAAATTTGAGAAGGTTTTGATAAAAATTGATGACATATGTGACTGTGAAGTTATGAATCTCATAAAATGTGTTGTTGACCCCCAAAAAATGAACTCAACAGATGACGGACCCACTCTTGTCACGTCAAATGATGATCGACACATTTCTTCCGGAATAGGAATGAAGGTTTAATTGCAATGAACGTGAGAGGCGCTTTCCGGCAAGAAACACAAATGTTTTGACTCCAGCAATTGGGTTTGAGAAGCACTCACGCTACCAACGAATGCTTGATCTGTTTAACTAAATCTCTCATTTCGTAGTGGAATATGTGGAAGGATAGATATGAAAACATATTGTATATTCTTGGAGTATCAACGTGTGTTCTTCCTTACGTTTTGTAAGACAAAACAAAGCAAAGTATATAAAGACGTTCTTTCTTTTTCTTGATTGCCTCCACGTTTTTAGCACAAATAGAGGTTATTTTTACTTACCTAGCCGATGTGGTGACACACTGACATATTAAAACTACAGACACTTTATTACAGATGTCTCATCAATCAGTTCTATGAGATCTTCGAATCTATTGGGAGACAGTGTCAACATTAGTGAGTTGAGGTCAACTTCGAACTTATGGACATCTGGTGCAGTTGAGTTTCGGTGCTTTAGTACTTCGTACATGAGGAGCCTCTGCATCACATGGAAGGGCTTTAAGCAGACCTATATTATTTGAGTTGAAGGGGACATCGGATAAATACAGATTCGGCACTTGCATGTCTTTGGACAATGGCCTCCTTTGTCGTTCTTGACTATGTTGACTCCCGTATTGACTTTTCAACTGGCTTTGCGTCTACTTGGCTACAGAGAGTACGTCGTCCACGGGGAGTGTTGACCTGGGGCCTCTAATTTTGGGGGGTAACATGTGTGGTTAAAATTAATCGTTAACTTTAATTTAAATTTTAATCAGTTTTTTAGCTGAACCAAATAGAAACATAGTTTAAAAATATAATTGTTTAAAATGACTAAATATAACAAATTTGAGACGGACTAGAATTGCATTTTTGGCGAAATTTCAAACATGGTAGATACGAAAGAGTCAAAATTCCACAGCAAAGACTCTTTCCACAAATATCCAATCGTAGTCCGTAGAGTTTGGTAGTTTTTGAAAGTGATATATTATTCTTTTGTTTTATAAAATGAATAAAATATTCTCTACACTTGAAAAATATGCTTACTTGTTGACTATTCTTTTTTTGACTATCTTTAGTCTTAAAAGACCATTTTGAATTGTTTATTACATTACTTTATTTAGCCTTGGTTTGCTTTAATTTAAAAAGTTGATAAAAATTTAATTGCAAGTCAATAATTAATTTTAATTATATTTTTTATGAAATCCACAATTTTTATCAATTTTCAACCTCAAATTTCATTTTTTTTTTTATCAAAATCTACTAAATATTTAATTTTTAACTACACTGGGGGCTTAGCCACTATTTGATTGAACTAAAAAATTGATAATAATCTAAGTTAAAGTTAACAATTATTTTAGACATTGTTTAATCTCTGTTTTTTTCAAAATATATTTTTCCCCCTCTTCTTTTAAATCATACATTATTCAATAAAATAATATCGTGCGCATCTCAAAAACTTTTTTTTTTCATTTTCAATTTCACATTCTCCATTAATCTACTTTTTCAAAATGCATTCTACTAAAAAAAAAAGGGACTCAAACAGACACTTGACCACACAATTTATTGTATTTACAACTTTTATTAAATTTTTAATCACGTTTCATCAACTTTCATTAAAATTTACTAAAACTTTTATTTTTAATACAGTAAATCAATTCTCATTTTCAACCACACATTTTTCAATAAAATAATATTTTCCATCACATCAATACTTTTTTCTTCTTTTTCAACCACACATTTCCCATCATATCACTATTCAAAAATCAATTTTTCCTCCAAAAATTCCTACCAAACAAGCACATAGTGTTCCTCCTATTCAATTACTTCGATCAATATCAAACACCTCATAGTATTTTCGAAGCATTCAAATATTCTATCATTTCTCTAATTCTCTATGATTTCTCTTAAACGTTAAGTATTTGATATAATACAATTAATAAACCTAATTTGGACAAAAATCATCCATTGTCCCCATAATGTTTGCTAATTAGCAAACTTGAGTAGACTGATTTGATTGAAACAAAACTAATAATTAAACTATTTTTTTTTTCCTTTTGAAATCTAATTTACTGATTGTGCTAGAATAAAAGTTCAGTTTAAAATTGTACAATAAGTTTAGTGGCCTTGGGTTTTTAACCCCTCTAGCTTCAATCTAAATTCAAGCGCAAACACTCACATGAAAAATGAGCATCACTCCCTTGGTCAAGAGATTGTAATTTATTTTATTTTATTTTTAATTATTACTTATTTGATTAAATCATATTTTGTTTATTAAGATGAATTAAATATCGTTGGACACTATAAAAGATAAAAAAGAAAAAGACAAAAAAGTTAAATTACACTTCAATATTGTGTACCAATCGTTTATCCCTATATCCTTATCCTTATCCTTATACAATAAAAGAGGGACTTTGCTTTGGCAGTGTTCATAAGTTTTTTTCCCCTCTAAGCGACGTTATTTTTCTTTTACTATCTTGTCAGATTTATTACATTTAAGCTTTTGCAGCCTTCGTTTTCCCGTTAACCTTCTCAGGGGTGGACCCAAGGGGGCACGTGCCCCCAACTTATAAAATCATATTTGGTATCGATTGAAATATAAATTTTAATTTAAATCAAAGTTGACAATTAATTTTAATAACATATTTCATGAAATCCATAATTATTTAACTTTTATCAAAATTTACTAAAAAATCAATTTTAATCTCCATCAAACAGGAGCAAAATCACAATAAATTTTAATTTTTTTCTTTTTGTCTCGCATTTTAACAAAATCTTAACACTCCATCAAATAAAGGCGAAATATTGTATTCTTAATACCATTTCAAAGTGTTCACAATCTAGTTTTCTACATTGTTAATGGCGTATGAAACAATCAATCGTAACAAATCCTACGACTTGTCAAAGTAAGCCATTCAAAATTAATATTTCGAAAATTTCGATAATATACTAACTTTAAAAAAAATTCGACGATCGAACGCTAATCAAATCTACAATTTGCTTATGTCATCTCAAAACTTATTTCGAGAACTACATTATAAGCATATCAAATAATCCAAATAAATATGTAAAATAGTTAAAAATGCGTTAAACGTGAATTTTAAAGAAAGACGTTTAATTCACATTTTCTTTATAAAAAAATCTATTATTTCATTAACATTATTTATGCAATACAAATTTCTCAATATAATTTTCAACATTTTATTAGGAAATTTCATATGGAATATGACAAAAAAAATTTCGAAATTTTACATCTGAAAAAGCCATATCCTATGTAAATTTTTGGATCCAAAATTATATGGGGTATGATTTTTTTGGACATAAATTTTCAATTGTAAATTTCTCCCAATTTCTTTACAAGTTCAATTGTGCCTCCCAATTTTAAACTTCTGTGTTCGCCCTTGAACCTTCTCTCACACGATAAATTACTTGATTTTTACTATTTGCTTCAGATATGCGTGTAGAGGCTTCTATCATCTTCCTCTCACTTTCCTTTTTTTTTTTTTCTATTTACACTAATATCTCTTTCCAACTCTCTTGCTCAGCTCTCTCTTCTACTCACTCTACCGCTCTTCCCTCTCTAAGGTTCTTCAAAATCTTCTCAAAAGTTTCATCAGCGGTCGAAGCAGACTCTGCTTCCATCACCATGCCACCGGTTCCACAAGGCTACGGCATAAGCGTCGGCCGACATCAAGGCCTTATTTAAGCAGTACTCGTATAACGAGAATTTAGTGTTTGCAACCAATGAACTCCTATAGGTTTGGAACATCCGTTACATTTTAGATTTTTATATCATTCAATATTTCCTTTTGCTATTTCTTTTATTATTTGTGAAGAACCATGATCTAAAATGTGCCAAAATGCGCCGCCTAGGCGTTACGCGGGTCGAAAATGCATCGAATTCAAGAGAAATGCGCGAAAAATGGGTTTTCCATCTAAAAGGCTGGAAAAATGCGCTC